TTTTTTTAATATGGGAGAAATCACAGCATGGTAACGTGTGTGTGCTAATCAGCCAGTAAAGTGGGAAAATTGATGATGCAGGAGAGAAATGCCCAGATGCAAGCAGGTGGGAGAGGTGATGGTGGAGCTTGGAGCAGTTCTCTTCTGATGGTATCCATTTTCTCAGTGAAATGGGAAGCCAGGCCACCAGCTGGGAGTGCAATGGGAGAGGGATGCGAGCGCTCTGAAATCGGCATCTGGGAGACGGGGAGGCTGGACATTCAGTGGAAATATAACATGATTGCTGGGCTGCATTAAGGGCTCACTTGAGGTTTAATGGCCATTAATTTAAAGTGAAATTACTCAGCATGTCTGTATGGTCTTCTCCAGCCAAGTTCAGTCTCAAGGATGCAGATCCAGACTAGGTGGAAAGTTGGATTTTATCAGGGTTGAGTTTGGCTCACTGAGTACAAAGAAATGACAGTGGTACACAGGAGTTTCCTGTGGATTCAAGAGAGAAATTATGATAATTGATCATGGATTTTAGGCTGGGTACAGAGGCAAGATGTGGATAGAGTCAGGGTTTGGTGAAAGACAGTGAAAAAACAAAAGCAGTAGGATTGTTGGTTGAAGGATCCTGGTGGTGCTCAAAGGATTGTTGGAGTCCTCGTAGTACTCAGAGGAATAAGCTGTCTTTCAGAGATTGGGATATAGTGGAGACTGTGGAGGGTGGTGGTGATAGATAAGGCAAGGTATTAGGATGTGACAACGGAAGACAGCGGCTGTGGTAGGAAGAAGGGAAAGATGACTGGTGGAGAATAAATCAGTGGACTAGAGGACCAGGGGGTTGAATCATCTATGTGGATGTTGAAATCACCAAGAACACACATATTAAGCAGACCCCTTGAAGCCCTACCTCCTCCCCAACCCTTTCCTCCATTTCTTGGACTCATCGTGAATTTGAGGGGCACCTCATCCCTGAGCTTCACCTCTTCCCAGAGCCTCACCTCTCCTTCAGACTCACTTGTCCTGGAGGTCACCCCACTCGAGCCTATACCCTAGTGAGAGCAACACTCCATATCTCAACCCATCATCCCTTCCCCAAGCCTTGCCCCCAAGCATCTATTGAGTACCTACTGTGCCTGTTGCTGGTGACATAAGAATGTACCAAACACTTATTTCCATTCTGGTTGGAGGAGAGAGACTAACCAGCCAACATGGAGAATACCTAACAAGGCAGTTGGTAGAGGTGCAAGGGAGGAAACCATAGTTGAGGAGGGGGACAGGGACACTGACTCTTACCTCATCCTGGTTCT